CAGATCCTGTGCGTTTTGTTGGTGAGAGTCCAGCAATGTCGAGTTGGTACTTCGTGGCCTAATCAACTAATTCTTGTTCTTTTCCTCTGGTGAGGATATGTTCCAATTTCCGACTTTAAGCTGCCACTGGTGGTGTCGTTTCCGTGAGCCTTTTCTGTCGTGCTGTAATGGCCTCGCGCTGTCTGCCTCCTCCGTTCGGAACGCGGGTAGCGACTCCGTTGCTGACTGGTATCTTCGTCGTCGTTCCGTCGGTCTTCATCAGCAGTTCTTGTGCTGCTACGCCTCGGGTGGCAGGGGGCAATGAGCAGGTTCTGATCCCGATTTTTCTCCGTCCTCCGACAGCCTGCGCGGCCTGGGTAACCCGGGCGACGATCGAGCCTATGTAATTTTAGATGACGTAAATGCTATGAATGGCAGATAGCTATGTTTTGCGGAGACTTCGCCAAGGTCTCCAATCTTCCTCATTTCTCATCGCTGCTTCGGACCGGCTAAGGTGGTGTTTCTAATGGTAGTTTGCATTAGTCCGCCGTGCAGAACGTTTGTCACAAATTTATTACGTCGCTTACTTGCTAAGGACGCAAGTCCCTGTTAATTCTTGGTGCCTAGCGGTGTATTTGAACAGGCCTCGGCATCTTAGGCTTACATCACCTATAATGCATGAACGTAGGACCACATCTCCGTGCTTGGTCCAAAGAGAGCAGTTTGTACACTAGCTGGAGGGTGTCTCTCGATCAGTAATATGTCCGTTATCCGAAGGCGTTGCCGAATAAGTTCTTAATGCTGCAGTCAGTTGCTATTAGATGCCACCAGTACTACTGAGATGATAAACTGATGGCAAATTCGACATAAAAGAATAAGACCGCTGGTAGCCGGGCACGAGATGACTGCATGTCACAGCAGCAAACTTGCTGGAGGCACTGCCCTACGTAATCGAACACTTGCTATTACTTGTACTTTGTTACCTTGTGTTAATACGACCTTCATGTATTCATCACTCAATCGCTGCTGAAAGCATTTTGTTCCTTCGAGGACGCTGAACTAAATCACTTCTACCAGCCCGTAAAAGATGACGAATCGCGCCGGCCACAATTGTCCCCCCTGATTCTCCACACCAAGCGCGCCTTTCCTAGCTCCTTGTATAATCTTTCCACTTTGGTGATGGACGACCAAATGGTCTAGTTCACCTTTCGAATTTATCAATGAGCGATCATCGCCGACCATCTCCCATCGATGAACCGAGCTACGTGTCTGGCCCATGGTACCTTGTCCTTTTTGTTCTCTGCAAATACGTACGTCCTTCATTACCGTCCGTTGTTTGATCACCTTGTTGCTGCTGTGCTTGTGAGTTAACATATCGAACATTCTTCTTTACATGGCTCTTTCAATGAAATATATCTGGTACCCTTCGGCCTTTGACTCACCACGTCTAACGTCCGTACAACTTTACTGGCAAAATTTGCGATGTAGGCGCGGGTTGCCTTCCTGATGTAGCCGAGGAATGCAACTCTCCCTAATCCGTTGAATCTCTTCAGCCAGGGATGCACTGTTGGTCTCTTGGCCGAGCTAACTGTATCTGTCTGCTTCTTTGACCTTTCCGCTGTTTGATATTACCTCGACTTTTGGCAAGGCATCCGGTCGCAGTGTCTTGGTACTTAGTCAGTTCATTTGCAGTCCTACTTCGCACTTTTTTTGTCGAGCTCTTGCAGAATATCCGTTAGGTGACCGGCGAATTTCGTAAGTAACACCGCGTTACCGACAACCCTTGGATAGCTGGGCTGTTCACCATTGGTTTTACTTCTACCCATTCAGATTATCCTGCGGAGTGCCATTTACCAACAGGTTACGAAGAGCTTTTGGATATGATGTCTCCTTGCTTAAGCATTTCTCTACGGGAATCTGAATGGGTTGTCGAACGGCGAGATGTTTGTGAAGCATCCTGAATATCCTTCCTTTAAGAGACCGAAGAAACGGTTGTTGATGATCTGGTCTCCAGTGCAGTCCACGGTGTGTTGTACACGGCTGTGTCGAACATCTCGTAATCGACGACGATTTCCAGAGGGAGCTTGTATTCCCTCACGCACTCGTGGTGACATATTTTCCGTTTGCTGTTCACTCTTCGGAATCCTGCCAGTTCATCTGGCTGCTGATCGTCCTGACTTGTTGATATTCTGTTAATGACGATCTTGGTGAGTAGTTTGTAGACTTGTAAGAGCTGGCAGATTCAGCAATAGTTCTTCATATTTTTCTTCTCGCTCTTCTTTATGATTACGATTGTTTTTGACTCCTTCCAGTTTGACGATATCGTTTCCGTTTTCGGATAACACCTTAACCTCTCCGTTAGAACCGTCCACATCGTCTTGATGACTTGCTTTAATAATTTCAAATGTCAAGCCGTCTCCCCGTATGCTCTTTCCCTTCGTTCAGTTTATACGCGAAAAGTTGGACTTCTCTTCGGAAGTCCAGGAGTGCACGTCCCTCTTCACTATTGGAGTGATAGTAGTAGCCGCGTGTCTTTGACTTAGGCAGTTTGCTGTAAGACTTCTTGCAGATAGACTGCACGTCATCTCTGTCAGACGTTAATCGGACATGTATGTATATATGTATGTGTGTATGTATGTATGCTTCGATGCTGTGATGGTCGTCTGATACCGCTTTAACTATGCCCTAAATTCTTCTAGACTTATGCA